ACTTATCCAACCATTCTGGAACTATGCCCAAAGGGCTATAAAAATGTGCATACCTTTTGACCCAGCAATACCACTTCCAGGGCTATATCCCAAAGAGATCATAAACATGGGGGAAAAGACCCACATGTACAAAAATATTTATAGTAACTCTTTTTGTGGTGGCCAAGAACTGAAAACTTGAAAGGATGCCAAACAATTGGGGAATGGCTGAACAAGTTGCAGTATATGAATGTAATGGAATACTATTGTGCTGTAAGAAATGATGAGCAGGCAGACTTCAGAAAAACCTGGAAGGATTTATATGAACTGCTGCTTAGTGAAGTGAGCAGAACCAGAACATGTACATAGTAACAGCCACATTGTGTGATGACTGATTTTGATAGACTTATCTCTTCTTAGCAATGTAAGGATCTAAGACAATTCCAAAAGACTCATGATGGAAAATGCTATCCACACCCAGAGAAAGAACTATGGAGTCTGGTTGCAATTTGAAGCATACTATTTGCTCTCTCTCTCTCTCTCTTTATGTTTTGTTTCTTCTTTCTCATGTTTCCTCCCATTAGTTCTAATTCTTTTTTACAATATGACTAATATGAAAATATGTTTAATAGGAATGTATACATAGAGCCTATATCAGATTGCATGCTGTCTTGGGGAGGGGGGAGGAGAGGGAGGTGGAAAAAATTTAAAACTCAAAATTTAGGGAAGTGAATGTTGAAAACTAAAAGTAAATAAATTAATTTTTAAAATATGATGGAATGCCACTGTGCAGAGCTCATAAGCAAATGACAAGCCATGATTCCAGAGAACTAACGAAGAAACATGCTATCCACATCCTGACAGAGAAGGGAAGGATGCTGAGTGCAGAATGAGACAAAAAAAAATTTATATGTGGCTAATGTGGAAATTTGTTTTTCTTGTGTTCTCAATTGTAAGGGTGAAGTCAGGAGGTGAGAAGGTGAATTTTAGCTGATTAGGAAAATAAAATATTTTAAAAATTAAAAAAAAATCTAATGCTCAGCATATTGAGTCTTTATTAGCCATGCTATAGTATTAGACTACATTTTAATTGTTTGCTACAGGTGAGCTTTAATGAAGTAAAGTTCATTAATCATAGGATTTGGGGCTGAAAGGGGTCTTAGAGACGATCTAGCCTGATCTCTTTATGTTATAGATAAGGAAATCGAATTCTAGATAAGAGAAGTGTCCTACCCAAGGACATACCCCTAGCATAAGAGTGAGGATTCAGGCCCAAGCCTATTAAATCGAAGTAGAAGTAGCATGTCTCTCTGATTTATGCCTCATTTAATATAAGTAAAGTGACCATGTAACAAAAGTATATTTATAGCTGAACATATCAAGGATTTTTGGTGATAAGAGAACATGCAAGAGGAGTACTGACTTTAGGGTCAGACGACCTGGCTTCAAATCCCTCCAAGTCCAAATTCCTGGCTTCAGTTTCTTCAACTGTAAAGTAAAGGCACTGGACTACATGATCTTCAGACTCTCCATCTGTTCTCTTGGGATCTGCCTTTGCTAATAAGACACTAGAGACCGAGAGAAGGTAAGTGATTTGCCCACAGTCAATGGTCAAGGGAATAACCTAGATCTTGTTGTTTTAGGGATTTTTCTACTAAACCATAATATACACAATTATAAAACTAGACTGTTTGCAGACATTAGAATCAACTCGGTTTCCTCTTCCTCCACCTCCTAGACACACACACACACACACACACACACACACACACACACACACTCTCTCTCTCTCTCTCTCTCTCTCTCTCGGTCTCTCTGTTTCTCTCTTGGTCTCTCTGTCTCTGTGTCTCTGTCTCTGCCTCTCTGTCTGTCTGTCTGTCTCTCTCTCTCTCTCTCCTCTCTTCTGCTGTCCTCTCCTTTCCTCTCCTTCCCCCAGGCTTTAATTGTAGTCATGTGTACAACAGTTTATAGACATAACTCTCCTACCTGATGATTTGGAGGATGGATATAAAAACTCAAATGATAACAAATGGAGGAATTATTAACATTGTCATTATTTTTGTATCACACACATACACACACACTGACCAGATGAGAACAAACCGTAGAAAGAAGTATAGAGCCAACTGGATCTTGGTTGTATTATGCACAGGGGTTTTTTTAGACCAATTCTATGATTTCATCAGTTAAGGGAACATTCATAGTGAAATGAATGATTCAGATTGGAAAAGATTCTATAATTTGTCATCTTAGAGAGCTGTTGAAACATCTGAGCTATTATTAAATGACTTGTCTGTGGTCATATAAGCAGTGTATGTCAGAGACAGGGCTTGAACCCACGTCTTCTGACTCCAATCTGACCTCAATACACCATACAATGCTGCCTCTAAGTATAGGTGCTCACTCGATTTTAAGTTATTGTGCTTCTGATAAACCAATTCAGGGGTATGATAAGGATCTGGTAGAGAAATAGTGATATAGTGACTCTCTCTTTTTAATTTTTTTTAATTTAATTTTATCTTCAACTCCAAATTCTGTTCCTCCTACCTCCTGTTACCCCTTTATTGAGAATTTTTTTTTAATTACAAACATGTAGAGGCAAGCAGAACAAATTCCTGTATTAGCTATGTCCAAAAAAGAAAATAGGTATACCTCAATCTGTACTGAGTCCATTCTGCCTCTGTCTAGAGGTAGGTATCACAAAGTCTTCTGGAATTGTGAAAACCAATACTCTCTTCACCATAGCTTCCACACTGAGCCCATCAGTTATGGAAATAGTGAAGTTATGTTAGCTATGGCTAACAGGGAATCCAACTACTTCCATAATTGTGTGTCAGGGGAAAGGAAGTGATCTCAGTGAGGCAGGTGGAACAGCTGAAAACAGGCACAAAATGATCTTTGGCTACTTCCTAGTTGGGCGTTTCAACAGGTTACAGAAACAGTAGGAACGTGTGCCATTGAGACTGTCTTTGGAAAGTCCAGTATACGTAGTCATTGTAATGATATTGTACAGAGAGAGATTTGGTCTATTGTTCATCCCTTGCTCAAACCTGTCTTGTTTTCCCTTCTCTTTCCCCTCTCACTTTGCTCACTTCATCACTCTCTGTCCTAGAATCTCTTAGCATTCCAAGTCTAAAACAATCATTGCTGACATTCCCAGTCCTTTCTCCTACCCCTCTCCCCATGACTAATGTAATCTTTTATGAAACTTACCAGATTTTAAGAATATCATATTATACAAATACAGGTAACAAGTTATAAATATTTTTAAATAATGTTTTTATAGAGAGATTGACATGGATAGACTGCTGATAGTATTTGTTATTCAGGACTTTCATTTATAAGCCTTCTCTTTTTCTAACCAGAACAGCAAAGCCCTGGGCCATTTGCTATGACATGGAAATAGCCTCATGTATAGAATCCTGTGTAGTAAGTGGAGTTCCACCAATCTTTGAGTCTCTCTGTAGCTTAACTGCAGGAACCACCATGAATTTTTCCCTTAGGAGTGATTGATTTTTAAAAAGCACAAGCATAAAGAGGACTGTCCCAGGGAAAGGGGTGAGGAGGGAGGAAAGGAGAGAGAGAGAGAGAGAGAGAGAGAGAGAGAGAGAGAGAGAGAGAGAGAGACAGAGACAGAGACAGAGACAGAGACAGAGACAGAGAATGAGAGAGAGAGATAAAGGAGGGAGAGGGGGGAAGAGGAAAGGAGGAAGGAAAAGAGAGAGGGAGGGAGGAAGAGGGAGAGGCAGAGAGAAAGAAGAGAGAGAAGAATCTGGTCACTCTCTCCTACCCTGATAAGAAGGTTATTGTTATTGAACAACCTTGTCTCTTTCTTTTCATATAAGCCTTTCTTTTCATAACAGAGTTCTAAGTATTGTTAAAGATTATTTATTCTGATATGAAAAGAATCTGTTTGATGGTACACCATAACTCAGAGTGGGGCACATTGTTTGGGAAAACCAATGCTGTCTTTACTATGCACTTTGTCCTTGCCACGCTTAGCATACCTTGGGCATTCCATAATACTATAGAGTCCTTTCTAATATCATCTCAAACTCTTTATATTGGCTTCTTTGTATACCTCTATGTTTAGAGGCAATTAGCATTGTGGATAGCATGCTTTGGGCTAGAATCAGGCAGACCTAAATTTGAATCTGACGTCAGTCATTTACTAGCTGTTTAACCCTGGGCAAGTCACTTAATCTGTTTGCCTCAATTTCTTCATCTGTAAAATGGAGATAATAATAGCACTTACTTCCCAGGGTTGTTGTGAGGATCAAATGAAATAATAATTGTAAAGCACTTAGTATAGTGAATGTTATATAGTATGTGCTTCATAAGTTTCCCCCCCCCTTCTTTCCTATATACAGAGAATCTCTCATACTGGTGCAGTCAGAAGGGTGGGGGACCGAAGTCAAGGAGATTGGGATTTGAGTCCCAGCATCGGCAAGACGTCAATTTGGACACCACACCCTCTCTTTGGATCTCACTTTCCTATTCTGTAAGATGGGGGGAGGGGAGAGGAGAGAGGGTCTAGATCAGAGGTGAGGGGGACCTGCAGCCTTGAGGCCACATGTGGCCCTCTAGGTCCTCAAGTGCGGCCCTTTGACTGAATCCACACTTGACTGAAGGGCCACACTTGAGGACCTAGAGAGCCACATGTGGCCTTGAGGCCACACATTCCCCACCCCTAGTTGAGATGATCTAGGTCTCTTTCAGCTCGAAAATCTGAATCTCTGAAGTTCTACAAAACGTGTAGATACCAAGTTAGTGTCTCATTTCTGTCTCTGACCCTGTACTGCTACTGACATAGAATGAGAAACTGTTCAAAATGAAGGCTTCTATGTCCAAAGGTAAGTAATAATCCATGAGGGTTTACAATCTCTGTAGAGGAGGTAGTGGTATAACAAAGCAAAAATTCCCTTTTCTTTCTTTAGAGAAGCCAGCCCTTTGTTCTCCTCCTCAGCCCACCCAGAGCCCACTCTGATTCTACTTTGTTACTGAAAGATCTGAGCACTTACCTTGGAATGTAGTCATCAGTGTAATCATAGGTTTTACCTGTGAGAAAATTGTAAAATGAATGTTAAAAGATACTTGGAATCATGGCAATGTTGATGCTGCACAAAGAATATTCTAAACACAAGGATTTTTAGCTTAAGGTCTGTGAGCTTGTTTTATGTTAACATTCTAATAACTATATTTCAACACAATTGGTTCCTTTGGTTAGCCTATGAATTTTATTTTGCACATTTTATTATTCCAAGATGTTTCCATCAAAGGAGTCTATGGCACAAAAACTGTTAAGAAGTCCTGTTTTTGAGTGTCATTTTTGATGTGTATGTCATCATCGAATTTGACCATTTGGATACTAATTTAAAAAGTATTCTCAAAGAATTGTTCTGGCTGCCACACTATTTTATCTCTGTGGTAGGATGGAAAGAGCACCAGGCTTGGAGTCCAAAGACTTATTTTCACATCTGAGCTCCTTCTCTGTCTATTTGTCTAAACTAAAGCGTCACTTTCTCTTTGTGTGCTTTCATTTCCATAGCTAACAAATGAGGTTCTTTTCCTAGTCTAATGTTCTGGAATTTCTTGAATGGACATTATGAAGATGGGCTAAAGACAGAGACGAATGACTCCTACTTTTGGGGTGAATACTTTATTGGAAGCAAGTCTTTCCAAAAATGTCATGCTTTGGGGACTATCTGTTTCACCTCCAGAGCAGATGGATTTTCCATTTTGATACATCTGATGTTTAAGATATCTTCCTGGTTCCTTATTGCAAGGATGCAGGGGAAAGAGCAGAATTCTTCAGCAATGGAAACACTTTATTATTACTTCATATTCATCAAATTTCACTAGTAGCTGTTCTTTTCTGTGCCAATTGAAACTGAGCCATGTCAGTTATCATTAAGGATTCTCTGACAACAAAAATCCTGCAGCGTATTTTAGAAAAAGTCAAGAGTGCGAGCATCAGTGTCCTGGGGAAAAGTAGCATATTCTGCATGCCCTTTACATTGAGAACTTGATAGTCCAAAAGTGTCAACTTGGGGAAAATGATCCCGAGATAGTGTTAGAGTTGGCCAAAACATAATAGACTTAGAGAAGATCCAGGGACAGACAACTAAAATGATAATATTAGCTGACATTTAGATCATCTTTTATAGCTAAGTGTTTTATACACATTAAGTCCATCACTAGAATGATGAATTAGCCTCAGGTGAACAAAGATTAAAAAGGCTAGGAGCAGCCTTTGTCTGGAAGGACAAAGAGAATACACTCAAATGTCTCTGCGCCTTTGTTTACTCATCTGAAAATGAGGATGTTGGACCAAATGATCTGTAAGTTCACTCTTAGCCCTAGATCTAAAACCCTATGATCAGGAAAAGTAGAAATAGGTAGAAAACAGAGTTTTTTATTCAGTCTCAGAGTATTAGAAAGAGGGACCAAGGGAAACTCAAAGGTGATAGGAAAAAAGGATAGGAAATGCTTCTTTTTCTAGAGAGAAATTGAGAACATGGGTAATACACGTGGAAAATATAGTTTCAAGAAGACTTTAAGTAAATGAAGAATTTGTAGTTGTAGGCACTCTGTGAACAGAGATTGTTTCACTTGTATCCTCATCAGCTAGTATAGTACCTGGCAGAGAGTAGGAGCTTAATGGGTACTCATTGATTGATTAATTGATGAATTATCAAGAGAAAAGTAGGAAATGCTGAAGATATTACCCCCTGATACTTTTAGGCCAGCATCACAGAAAACAGCTAGGAGGTATGTCCTTCTATAGACTGACACTTTGTTCTACTACCAGGAACAAAATTGGAGGAACGAGACTATTCATTAATTTGGCCTAGCATCGAATTGTTTGTGTGCTGAATCTTTTCATGCTAGCTGTCATGCCTAAAACTTGACCAACATGGTGCTGCTGTTGTTGCTATTTTAAAAAAAAAAATGTGGAGGCTAATGAGAAGCAGCATGATAGAAGGCTGATCTTGTGGTCAGGAAGACCTAGGTTCAAGCCTTGCCTCTTAAATATACCATCTGGATGACCCACAGAATACCACTATACACCTTGTTGCTGAGTCATTTCAATCATGTCTAACTCTTTGTGACTTCATTTGGGGTTTTCTTGGCAAAGATACTGGAGTGGTTTGCCATTTCCTTCTCCAACTCTAGAACAGGGCTAAGTGACTTGCCTAGGATGACACAGGTAGTAAATGTCTGAGGCCACATTTGAACTCAGGAAGTTGAGTCTTCCTGACTCCAGGCCCAGGGTTCTATCCACTGGACCACCTAGCTGCCCATACTATACCCCTCAGGCAGGTAAATTCTTTGTCTCATTTTTACTTAGTCGTAATCACTGAACGGGTGTTGTCTTAATCACTGAATGGGTGTTGCCTCAGGCAAACTGAGACCTGGGAAAGACCTTAGCTTAAAAAGGCCAAGATCTCCCACTGCATCCAGAGCCATCTCCAGTCAACCTGTTCTATATCTTGCCTCTCGCATGGGCAGGAAGAGGAAGAGGAACTAGCTCAGGAAACCAAAAATCGAGGAGCAAGAGTAGGAAAAGGAAGAGAAGGGAAAGAAGAAGGAGGAGGAGGAGAACAAGAACAAGAATGAGAAGAACAAGAAGAAGAACAAGAACAAGAACAAGAAGAACAAGAATGAGAACAAGAATAAGAACAAGAAGATCAAGAACAAGAACAAAAAGAACAAGAACAAGAACAAGAAGAACAAGAACAAGAACAAGAAGAACAAGAATAAGAAGAACAAGAACAAGAACAAGAAGAACAAGACAAGAACAAAAAGAATAAGAACAAGAACAAGAAAAACAAGAAGAACAAGAACAAGAAGATCAAGAACAAGAACAAGAACAAAAAGAACAAGAACAAGAATAAGAACAAGAAGAACAAGAACAAGAACAAAAAGAACAAGAACAAGAATAAGAACAAGAAGAACAAGAACAAGAACAAAAAGAACAAGAACAAGAACAAAAAGAACAAGAACAAGAACAAGAAGAACAAGAACAAGAAGAACAAGAACAAGAACAAGAAGAACAAGAACAAGAACAAGAACAAGAACAAGAAGAACAAGAAGAACAAGAAGAACAAGAAGAACAAGAACAAGAACCCAGGAGACCCAGGAGACAGTAAGGCTGGTGATTTTGCACAGCCCTCCCATACTTGCAATTCACTTGCAAGTCATGATATCTCCTTCCTAATGTCATAGTCTTCTTCTAGAATGAAAGACAAGGGACAGCTAGGTAGCACAGTGGATAGAGCACCGGCCCTGGATTCAGGAGGACCTGAGTTCAAATCCGGCCTCAGACACATAACATTTGCCAGTTTTGTGACCCTGGGCAAGTTGCTTAACCCCTTTGCCTAGCCAAAAAAAAAAAAATAGAATGAAAGACAAACAACAACCCTTCGAGTCAAAGGAATTGCAGATATGTATCAGTGAAGAGAATTTTCACATCAGGAAGTCCCCTACAGAGATGTAATAATCAATCTAGACCCAAAAACTAATAAATAAATAAATAATCAATGCCAATTACAAACATGACTAAGCTTATGACAATGACAGAAGCACTCTGCACATAGTAGGCAATTAACAAAATTGGGACAACAAAAATCAAATAATGAAGACGCAAGTAATGAAAAAGATTTGTTTTAACTGGTATTACAAATAACAATTACATGCTTTTTTGGTAAGAAAGGTTATTCTTTATACAAACCTACAGCAAAAATAAATAAATGAATAAATAAATAAATAAATAAATGAAAAAATATATATATATATAACTAGTAAGACAACTCCACAAATACAAAGATCACTTTCTTCTGTGGGAGTTGTAGACTGTGAATTTAAATGTGTCTCCAAGGAGATCATTAATTATTGAAGATCCATTATCTGGAGTAAGACTGCAAGTTGGAGGCAGAAATGGATATTTCACATGCAAATGTATTTTTTTTAATGTCAGTGGCAGAGACAATTTGGGAGGTTTGCTATAGAACCTACACATCAAGGCACCATGCTAGAAGAAGTGATGAATGCAACTGTTGGAATGTGTCAAAAAGAAAATTTCATTAACCTGTAGGGAATGGGTCCTGAACTGACTGATGTATAACTTCGAAGGTAAACTTTCCTAACTTAACTAAACTTGTGGTTCCAAGCACAAGAGATCTGATGTGTACAGGGCTATTGGAAAACCACTGAGCAAAGGTGAAATGCACAAGAAGGGTAAGGAAGGTTCTCTATCGCCCCTGAGTTAATAGTGATAGAAATCAAGTTGTAAAACTTTGTGGGGCTGAAATGAAATATCAAGACATAAAATGGATTACCAGTGCTTGGCGATGAAGAATTTGTAAATTAGGAAATAAAGAAGCTTGGTCCAAAGTATGGATTGATTTACTTTTATATGATGAGAGGACTTAGGATCATAGATTTATAGTTGGAAGGGACATTACAGGTCATGGAGTATAACCCATCCATTTTATAGATGAGAAAATTGAGGGCAGAGTATTAAGTGATGGGCCCAGCATCACACAGCTAGTATTTAAGGAGGCATTCAAACTCAAATATTCTTGAACCCAAGTTCAGCACAATTGATAATGATTCACTTTTGACTGGAAGCAGTACTCCTATCATAACACTGTCCCTTTCTTGAACACCATTCAATCATATCACCATTTTCTGATCCTTCTAACAATCATAAATCTACAGGAAGGCAACCCCTTTCCACTTTCCTAGCTAGTATTTTGCCTTTTTTTGTGTTCAAGTGCTTAGTGCACAGTGCCTGGGCATGTGGTAAGTACTTAATATATGCTAGTTGATTGACTGCCCTCTTCTCCTCTAGGACTTTGTTTCATCATTCATGCCCATTTTCGTACCCATGTTGTACTGCCTGGCCACATTGCAGCCCTTTCTCTGTCCCTCACACACACCACCCCATCTCTGTGTCTTTGCTCACTGTCTTCCAAGCCTGACATTCACTCCCTCCTCAATTCCGCCTCAGAGAATGCATCTCTTCCTACAAGACACAGCTCAAGCACCACTTT